GGACGTGGATTTACACTTGCGACACGAAGCGGTGGAAAGGAGAAAAGACTCAAAGGCGTAAGCGTCGCGGAGCGTTCTCTGGTCCCAACTGCGAGCATGGGCGTCGACGGGTGACAGCATTGCGACCGCCCATCGATACACCTCGTTGGTCGGACAACAATAATTTATATATGCTAGATTATACACCGAGGTAGCCTTAATCGTTGCAGCGTATTGCCACGCGCGAGAATAACGACTGTTCGGCGACCATTAACTAACTACGATCGAGTCGGACCAAGTCCGATCGCCGGTTTCCGACACATTATGCTAATCCCACCTACCGTGGCTCTCCCTCTCTCCTTCGTCCCGCCTCACGCCCCGTCTCCGTGCCTTCTTTCCGTGTCGACCGCGCGTTAATTAACTCGATAGTTTACGCGAAAACCTCGTTCCAGACGCTGAACTTTCCCTGCTCGCGCCAACCGTTCTAGCCTTTCTCTTTAGAAAACTTCGCCTCTTGTATCGTTCCAATTGTTGCCAACGAATCGATTAAATAATTTCATTTGTTACGGCGCGTAGTTACCGCTTATCGTATCTTTCCATTTACCTCGCGTTTACCGAGAGGAAACAAAGGTTTTGTCCGTGCTTCCTCCGGGATATCGACGATCGCTCGTTTACTCTGCTCTTTCTTTTTCGCTTCCGTCTCTCTTCTTTTTTTTTTTTTTTCTGGAATTTTGACAGGTAAAACTTGTCGTAGCCGATGCACGAACGCAACAACGATCGAGATTGTTCCTTGGTATCGCTCCTCGAAGCAAAGGCAGACTCTCCTCCCCGTCCCCGAGGACGTTATTCAACATATTTGAGAAGAACCGCCCTCGGTAAAAAATAAATTAGATAAAATTGAATTCCTTGGTTTAGATCAGAGACAAACTTCGTAGTAGCCAGTTTCGCGTTATTTGACACTGTGAACGTTATTAGGAAAGGAACGTTATAGGAGATCTTGGGAAACTTTAAAAGTTCCGACAAAAAGCTAGGTATTTTGCGACGGAATAACGGAACCAGTCAGCGAGCTAGTTTCCCCCTGAGAATCGGATTGCTCGAAACGAAGCGGCGTCACGAGAGGCGACTAGTCAGTCCTCCTGCTGCCTGATATCTCGCGTGTTCGCGGCAATTAGAGGAAGGTGTGACAGATACGAAGAGGTTTTGCCGCGAAACGGGCAGAGAGGAAGGTGCAGAGCGTAACGCATGGCCGGCCATAAATTATCGGCCGGTGCACTGAATTAATCGGATCCTAGAAACGGAGGGGAAGACGGGGCGGCGCGCGTACATCGCGAAAAGGAGTCGGCCGGGGCCATAGAACGGCTGGCCAGCCATCCGACCAATTAAACGAACAAACAGACATCTAAATTGGACGGTTGACCTTTATAGAAATATATTTACTTGCGATTGGATGCATTGAATTGCCGCGGCTGGGCACGCATGCGCCGGACTCGAAATAACGAACGGCCGGTAGATCGTTCGATCGATAATGTCATCATCCATTTTCATTCACCGGTTCCAGTAACAGCTCGCCACGACGAAATTACTTAATTTGCGCTTCGGCTTCTCCCCTTCTCGGCTCTTTTGTCGGGATTCCGATCGTACGTTATCGGCGAACACCGAATGATCTACGACCGTTTCGGATCGTCTTTGCCGACCTCACGCCAACCGCGCGCAACTCGCTAACTCGTTGAAACTATCGCTTCGTTCTATCAACGAAACGGAGCAAAAAGCGAACGTCCGATCAACCACGACCGCACAACGCTGCACCGACGGAAAGTTTAGACCAGACGAGACTGTCTCTCGACTATCTACTCGCATCATCTATTCTATTTACATACTTGGGCTGGAAACATTCCGGCTCCGAAGCCTGCTCGATCGTAATCCGCACGATTCCATCGAAGAATTCGATTCGAGATGCGAGCGTAACAATGGCACCTGATTAACGTCGCGCCAATCGAAGGCGCAGAAACGAACGTCGAAACGGAGCAATCGATTCCGTCGACGAGAGACCGAGGTTCATCTTCGCCTCGAGATAAATCCGGATTAATCCGATGAGGCAGTCGGAAGCGACGCGCTGAATCTTAAGGGGATAAGGTTACGGATAAATACATATAACGCTTTGCAGTTAACCGGTTCCACGCACACTCGCGAACAGCAAAAGGGACAGGGAATTTATATGGATGGCGCTTTACGTGGATCCGACCGGCTAGCTAATAAACGTATCGAGTTTACAAATAAATTTAACGTCCATTCAACTTCTAAATTCAACATCCATTAGCGATATGCCGCGAAGTATCTCGCTATAAACTAGAAACGTTGTCGCTCTAAAGCTCCAACGTCGCGTCGAGCCACCGAACGTCTGCCGCGAATAACGTTCCAGCTTGCTCTCTCTCTCCGTTCGACTTAAATATTCGGGGTTTCCGGATGACGGACGGTTAAAGAAAGGAAGAAATACATGACGTAGAAAATTGAATTTTCTTTGAAGTACGCAGACCCTAGGCCGTTGTAAACCTGTCACTTTGTCGCTCGAATTCACGTTTTCGCTACAATGGTACTTTGCGGTATCCTGCGTTACCGTTCTTTGGAACATTCCGCGGAATGTCAGAGTTATTTTCTCGATAAAGCTCGACCTGTAAGAATCAAGAGATTCGGAATTTCTAATATCTACGATATAAATCCTATCGTAGCAAGATTTTAAAAGACGTGTAAAGGTCGATAGACGAACGCGTTCGCGCTCCTCCAGACTTGATTACCATTCAACGGCTTTTTTCGTAAGATGCTCCGAAATCGTTCTCGAATCGGTGTCGTGACGCATTCGGCGAACGAAGCCGATCTCATATTGGGAATAAAGAGCGCCGATTGAAAAGAAAAGAGAAGAGAAAAATCGAGCGCATCGTTAACCGAACGAACGACAATGTTCGTGGCGTGGTTGAAGCGTCGAAGCCACCACGGCAACAAATCACTCCTTATATAGTCGATCGGCGTTTCTGCGCGCTTAAGATGAAAAGAAACGGTGCAAAAAATAAAAGGTAGCCGCGGATGGGGGAGAAAAAGATGAAGATGAAGGAAGGAAAGGAAAGGGAACGGCGACGAAGAGAAAAGAGGAAAGGAGAGAAGAAGGATCGAGCCGTGAGGCCCCATGCGGCGCTGAATCACGCTCGGTCCTTTTTCACTTTGCGGTCCTTCAACGGTGCGGTGCCTCTGTTGGAGTTGGGCTTACCTCTTTGTAAGACTGGCGCCGTGATTTTTCACGGTCGGCGTCGGAGAATTGTTGAAACACGGCCAACCCTGGCTCGCTCGACTTGTATTTCAGGCCCTTCGCCTGGCCGTCTTACCTATTTCTACCGCGCCAACCTAGCTGCATCTCCTCCTCCAATCGATTATTTCCCACTACATATTTTTACAAGGAATTCTCGGTTTATAGGACTCTCGTATGAATTCCGATTTCGTTCCTAAGATTCTTCGTATAAATTATATGTCCGCTGGAACAGCTATTCGACCAAAGTTGCTCGCCAACCGATAAAAATTTTTTTATTCCGAATCGCTCTTTTCTACCGAGCAAGGAGAGAAAGAGAGAGAGAGAGTGAGAGAGAGAGATCGTTTTTTAAATTTTGACACGTCGACTGACGATTTAACATCGTTAGGATCGAACGATGCGAATTGGAAACGACGATAAACGGTCGACGCGATCGAGAGATTTTTAATGAAAGAACGGAAGGACGCGTGAAAAATGAGGCGCGAATTCGAAATTCGTATCGAGTGGATCTATACGGCTGGTGGATGTTGTACTCGATTGTAACGGCAGCGATAAAGGGGAAGCAGATAAAGAGAGCGATAGCGGAAGAAGCGAACAGAAAGAGTGGGCGTAAAATGAGAATTTGTAAATCGAAATCAGACGATGGGTGTTCCGCCGATCAATTGCTATTTGACGGAGAACGGTGAACACTATCGACGATCGAGAATGATTAATGACGCGGCACAGCTATAAACGCGGTAATCTGTACCGGCATCGAACGAAACCGATTTTCATTATACCGTTTTTCGTTTCCAAGGTGTTGCCCACGAGGCCCGCCTCTACGTACGCCTTCCGAAACGGCTATTCTTCGATCTCCGACTAGCAAATGGCTGAACACGGCGAAACAAACAGGGTTATTCTCGAAATGACAAATCGAAACGAACATAGAACGAATGATTTCGTAAGAAGAGCAACAGTTGTCCGTTTAGGAAAGTTACTTTTTAGATTGCTTCAACGCGTTAAATTATTTAGATTTTTGTCAGAATGTTTCTTCCGAGATTTAACGCCTAAAAGAGAGAGAGAGAGAGAGAGAGAGAGAGAGAAAGAGAGAAGCGATGTTTATGCAACGTGCATAAAATTCTATTGCACTGCATAAAGTTTTGCGGTAAAGTACTTAACTACATTCGTAATAGTTGCAAGTTCTACAATTGAGATAGAAGCACAGATTACTACTCGAGCGTAATAACCATCGCTTTAACGCGAAAAGTCTTTATAGGTGAAATTTCTCTTATATAGTCAGGTTCGCTAAATTTTGGATGTAGAAGAAAATGTAATCGTTGTAGCAACGAAACGTAAAGCTCGGCGTTAGTTTTTAAGACAGACTTTGGTAAAGAATAATTTGATAATTATCGAACGTCGAAAGACTTTGACGACTAACAAAGTCACTAACAAAGTCAACGTAAGAGAACCGAGTTTAAATATTACAAGCTTGGAATAACGCGACATTTCGAACGGCAAGAACGGATCTCGAGGAAGAGAATACAGCGGACGGCATCGGACCGAGAAAATGCACATTAGCGAAACAGAAGCGACGAATTCGGTAGACAGAAACTATCGCGCGAACACGTTTGACCGAGAGAAAATCCCGTGTAGACGGTCTCGCTATGACACAATCTCGGTAGTTGTCTCTGGATAGAATCGGAACAAAGAGTCCGTGTAAGACGAGATAGTTGGTTTCGTGTTTCAGGCGGGCATGCTGCGTGGCGATGACGGCGAGTTCTGGTTGGAACCAGTCGCCGTGTCCCCGGAAGAAGAACAAGTTCGGCTGGAGGTTCGGCTGGAAGACGCCGGCGCCGAGAGCCGTACCACGGCCGGACTCTACCGGAACTCGGTGCTCGGCAGGCCGCATCTCGTGTTTCGTAGGTCCGTGGAGCAGCC